GAGAACGTGATTGAGCTCGCTCGTTGACGCCTTGTTGCTGGTGCCAACGAAGTTGCGTCGCCCACCGCCGCTCCGCCGCCACCGAAGCTACTCTTCAAGAAACTTCAACAGATTTGAAATAAACACAAATTCATCCTCCAAACTTGAAAAATGAGGGTTTTGAATTCAAAATTTAGGGTTTTTTTTTTTTTATGAATGGTAATGATAATACAAGCTTGTTGAATGTATTGATTGAGATATTCCTAGCAAATAAACTAATATTATTTTGATTTGGAGCTTTTTATATGACTTCTTTCAAATCTATTCTTGGGTATAAATTAGGGTTTTGATTTGGGGCTTTTTACATGATTTCTTTTAAATCTATTCTTGGGTAAATATTAGGGTTTTGATTTGGAAATTTTTACATAATTTCTTCCATGTTTTCTGTGTTGATTCAGAGATATCTAATTTTTTTTTATTAGTTTGTCAATATTTTCATTGGGATGATATTTTTTGTCAAACAAAAAATTAGCTCATGGTAACTTATTTTTTTGATAATATTATGAAAAATGAAATTCTTCACTTTGAATATTTGTCACCATCTTGAATATTTGTCACTCTCTCTCTCTCTCTCTCTCTACTTAAACCCAATTTTTTTTTCTTCCTCAGAAAGTCATCTCAGCCCTGGTTCCATTAGTCAGACATGTGTTGCCCCATAGTTACTAATTTCATAGTTCTCGCTTTTTACCAGTTTCCCAAAAGAGCACTCAGACCTCTCTCATTCTATTTGTACAAGTTTTTGCCCCAAACCCTCTCTCTCTCTCTCTCTCTCTCTCTCTCTCTACGCGCTTAAACCCAAAAAAAATTTCTTCCTCATCAAAACAATGTCGTTTTGATGAGAAAGTCATCTCAGCCCTGGTTCCATTAGTCAGACATGTGTTGCCCCATAGTTACTAATTTCATAGTTGGTCTACTACTCTCTTAATTTCTCAATTTTAATCTTAATATTATATTAAAGATGTATATGTGTGTATATATATAAAAATAAAAATAAAAAGAATAAATTATAAATATACCCTATAAGACTTGCTTAAAATATATATGTTGTTCTAGAAATTATATCATGCCCTTTAAAATCTTTATTTTCATAATAAATAATCTTTTCATTAATCAATTATTAAGTCAATTAACAGTTTTTAATGATGTTAGCAATATATTTTAATAGTTCTGGTAATTTCATTATTGCATAAGAGGATAGTCAGTAATTTCTTCTCTTTTTTTTTCTTTTTTTTTTTCTATCATGTCTTTTTTCAGGGGGTAATTTGTTTTTTTTTTCTATCATGACCGTTAAATGACAAATTTTAACAAAAGGGTATGCGTAATTTTCAAAATCACAATAGATTTTAAGAAAATCTCATGACTTTATTTGTAATTTATCCAAAATATATATATATATATGTATATATATATTGTTGAGTATATATAGGCGTCTACTATGGGCTCATTACACGAACTCATTGATTAAAAATTTAGTTGCAAAAAATTCATTTTTAATCGTTAAAGTCATTTTACAACAAATTTTTTAGTTGTCACTTTGGTCGCAGATCCGTTATTAGCAAAACTCTTATACAACTACAAAAATATCATTTGCTAGTAAAAATTGATATTTGGCAACTTAATTTTTGATTGTTGAACATATAAATATAAGGGTAAATTATCAATAGATTCTAATAGTTAGATTTAATTTCTATTAAGTTCTAGTAAAATCGTCACTAAAAATAACTTTTTGTGACAATTGTTTTGCATATGTCACTAAAAATCAATCGTCACTAAAAGTTGACAATTAATAACTTTTTTTGTCATGATTTTTATAAGTTGTCTCTGAAACTTACAATTAGTGACATTTTTCTGTGATGAATTTCTCAAAATGTCGCTGAAAGTTGAAATTAGTGACTTTTTTGTGACTTTTTTTTTAAACTGCCACTAAAATTTATAATTAATAATATTTTTTGTAATAATTTTTAAAATGTCGTTGAAAATTAACAATTAGTAACATTTTTTTATAGTATTTGATAAAAAAATATTATTTATTTTCATAAAACCTATTGAACAATAAACTTATTAGAATTTACACGTAAATCTACCATATATAATTATAATGACAAAGGTTTTGTAGCTGAAACATTTGGCCAATAAAAGTAACCAAACCCCGACTAAGAACTTGATTGCCCAAAAAGAGAGACTCTAAACCTGACCAAAGGAGAGATTCTAACGTTTGTTGGGTCAGGCCCGAAAAAGCCCATAACTTTGGCCATGGGCCTTACTCCTACGGCAAGCCCAACCAATACATTTTAGGATCAGGGTGGGCGGAAGCCCAATGAGCTGGCGTTTGAGAAACTATTTGGATATTCCTCAAATATTGCAACATATATGAGAAATCAACCAAACAATAAATAAAGGGAAGTTATCTAAATCGATGGTGCTATATGTACCAATTAGTATACTAATTGGTATATCAACACTAGTTATGATATTATTATTAACTCCACTCATTAATCACATTACAAATATCAAAAGCCTCTTAAATTATGTCACATCATCAATTGGTACACTAGTTAGTACACTAATTGATGCATATATCATTATTTTATCTCAATTATAGAAGTAATGGGTGCTCCATAAAAACATAAAGACATGGTACTGTGTGAAAGTATATTTTACAATTTTTTGCAAATTTAAGGTTGGTTTGAAAATTGACTTTTTTAGTAATTTTTCAACTTTTATCAAAAGAGATGTAAAAAAATGAAGAAGAATGGATTAACTTTTTATATTAATTTTTTAAAACTTTTTGACTATTTAAACTAATTGACAAACATCTCTTTATTAGGTTCTTTAAAATTTTAAAGGCCTATTTGGTACAACTTTTCATAAGCTAAATGCTAATAATTAGAAAGTGAACCTAAAAGCATTATTCACCTAACTTCTTAATAATCTTTTTTGTCATGACCCAAACTCGCCCCTATAAATTTAGCGTCATAAATCCTTGGATTACCAAAGGCCTCTAAACAGAATAACATATAATTAGGGACTGCTGAAGCAAATAGATAAAATATATATAGTCCATTGAGCTGATACATAGGATAGAAATTTAAAAGTTAAATATATTTACATATATACAGAAGTTTTACGTCACATTCATTACAGATTTTGCCAAAAGGGGACTTAGCCCGTTATACAGATAGACAAAACAAAACAGAAACATCTTTCACATGGGTCACAAAACTTGACTTCTACCAACGGGAACCTCTCTAGGAGGCACAAGGGCTAGCTAACAAAATACAAGCTCTAGCTCATCAACTTTGAGTGTGGTCACGCGTTTGGTCACTTACATACATAACATAAATAGTGAGCAGGAGCCTAGTGAATAATAACAGAGTAAAGGGTTAAATGAAGATGCCCTATAACAAATTTAGAAAACAAAAACAGGTACAGGTTCATATTCATATTCTTGTTCGAATCATATACAGAAATCAGAGTTCATGCTTGATCATATGCGGTACATCCAATAACGCTAACAGATAAAATACAGAGCATTAGGGGTCATACTTGTCAATTCTATAACGAAACCTTCGGTACCGGGAACAGATAACATATGTAAACCACGGTGTTGTTACCCCCAGGCGAGGGCTATGAAACCACGGTATTATTACCCTCGGGCAAGGGCCTTGTTTTAAGGATGCCACGAATATATTTCAAAAACTTGGATAATCATTCATTATACAAAATATAACATTTCATAAAATGGATCTTAATTCGTCTTACAGAAAATAAATTAAGTTAAACATAACTTTACTAAGTTATTACTCATAGTTGGCTCCAAAAGCAAAAAGACAGAATAGACTTATCAAATAGCATACGACGCATGACCTATGCAGCACAACATAACAGATATACATAATGAAATACACGCTCGAATAGTACTTCACTTATTTCGTCTCGTTCTTAGTGTGTTTCTACATCTTATCCTCATTACTATGTCTTAACCATGGCCTAGGAATGCCTAAGATGAAACGAGGATGCTAAAATGTACTTGAAAACACTTAATCAATATGCTGAAAACAAGGGCCTTGCTCGAGCGCCAATTCCTTCGCTCAGTGGAGGGCCAAAAATGTGAGTGGTCGCTCGAGCACAACTTTGGTCGCTCGAGCAGTCTGTAAACCCTGCAAAAGTATTGGTTGCATGAATTTTTCGCTCGACGGTCGCTCGAACATAAGACTCAGGTATCCGCTCAAGCATAACTCTGGTCAAGCCAACTTTAGGTCGCTCAAGCGTGAATGCAAAATACAGAGTGGTCGCTCGAGCGCAAGGTCTACCGCTCGAGCGAAGAGGCTGAGTTCTGAAATTTCCAGATTGCACTTCCAAGCTCAAAACTCAAATTCAATGCTGCAAATCAAGCTCTCTTGGGCCAAAAACTCAAGGAAACTTGTGTAAGCTTGGAAAACATCATGAATTCAAAACCATTACTCAAAATCAAGGCCCAAGAGTAAGTCAATTGATCAAGAACAAACTCAAATCTTTGAAAACATAACATGCATGGGATGGTTTGGCTTCAAGGTTTCCAAGACATGATCAATTGGTATAAAATGATGGAAAGATTAAAAACGTTATCATTTTTCAACAAATCCTTTTTGTTTCTATCAATAATTCTCTCCATAATTCTAAGATCAAACACGACATTAGGATAAACCAAAAAAGATTCATGTAGTTCAAGAAAATTAAGTACATCGATAAAAATACTTAAAGATGACAATGAAAACACATTATATCGAGAATACGCATCCATGACAAGAACATAAAGTTCCTCCCATCCAAAATGACAATCACATTAAAGTTCTTCCCATCCAAAACTGGACAGCTGAACTTGATTTCACATTACTTGGAGATAACAGAGCCGTCTGTCATACTCAAGAGAGACATTAAGATCTAACCAAGAGCTAGACTATCATTTCAGAAGTGCACAATCAATTTCTTGTCTGTAAAAATTTGGGTCTTGAAGCTTTCCTCTCTATCTTTTCTCTCTTTTTTCTCAACTTTTCATCATCTCCAAGTCTTTGTTGAACATTATTTTGATACTAGTGAGAACTACTTGTCACACCAACTCTTACAGATGCTTTGTATTTGCTTACAAAGATATAACATATATTTGGTGGAAAAAATACCTTGGAACCAAGTGACATAAATCCTTTCACAAAACCAAGGAGTTTGTATGCTGCAAACATTGGTATCTGGAAAGCAAAAGCATAAGACAATTTGGTTTAGGTATTCACTTCAACAATATTTGGTTCTTTCACCAATACAGAACTAAATAATCCTCACTATATAAGTAACGGCCTGGTCAATTTACATTGTAAATGTCAAGTCAATGTAAAATCTTGCAAATATATCATGTGTAGACTCCAAAAGAATATTAACTTAAGCATTGTACAGGTCCAAGCAACATCTGTTTAAAAGGAAACACATTCAATAATAATGTTCTCCATTACTTTATTTGGTCAAATGATTATTCCAACAATGTAATAAATCCTAATTTTTTTTTATTCTTTTTACCACACATGACAGTTTCACTAAAAGTAGTGCAACCTTTCTCTAATTTCATACTGACGCAAACTTAATCATGCACTTTTATACCTATGACCACCTCAACTAGTAATCACATGCTAACCAATCTCTTCTTGAGATTGTGACCTTCAAAGAGCTACGGAATAAAACGAATTATTCAAAAAGCTTGGCAAACTTCCAAAATCAAACCTTGTGTGCTAGCCTAAACCTTTTTCTAGCCAAATTTTGAATGAACGTGAATTTTAATTAAAAAGGTCAAGCAACTCCATCATCCACCTTACAATGTCCCAACAGGTTTTCTAGATGCAGTTATTCATCACCATCTTGCAGTTAGATGTACTCATTAAAAACCCTCTCAAAATTTCAATGGCAGCAAATAAAAATGATGGAAACACAAGAAGCAAGCATAGCAAGGTCCTTACACAAGCAGTGCCATACAATACATAATATTGAATAGTAACAATAAAAACAAAAACAGCAGCACAAATAATAACAAATTCATTTAGGAATAATACTGGGGATCATGAAAAAAATATCGCGAAATGCTTCATGAAGATTTTTCATCATTTGTTTAGTGTGTGGTGTTTTTATTATATGTGTAATCTAAGGGTGAAACTTTTTTCATGATCTTCATGATATTTTTTTAATAATCCCTAGCATTATTCTTCATTTAGTGGTAAGATGAGATAGTTCATTAGGGAATCCAAGTCCTCAAGAGCCATCATATTAAGTAGATGAAGAACATAGTTTCAAGTCAATCCATTAATTTAGTGATTTTTCTTTGAATGAATAAGCTGCAAAAACATATAAGTTGATCCTTTCCTTATGATAGTGCTGGCATTTCCTTAACATTAACCACTGCATTAGAATCCTAAATCTTAAACTGCATACTTATATATATAAACGCCAGCAACCACAAGCTGGCCTCTTTTGTTAATCAGTAACTCAAAAGCCTGACAACACTATAAAATAAGTCAGCTAATGCAGGTAGCAAACCAATTCAGGAAATGGATCTTACCACTAAATAAATGTACCAAAATTTTTCTGAGATGATAGTCGTGAGCTGCACAAAGCCAATAATGTAGATTACTTCATGCACATATCTACAATATAAAACCATTGGTTAGGAAAAACTCTTTTTATCACATTTATAAACAAAAAATACATGTTAATTTAATTGTAGCTACAAAGCATCTTATAAATATGAAAGACGATATGCATGTACTAGAGAATGATGTATACCTCCCTACAATGTAAACAAATCTTGTAACTCATATCAATTAGGAAACCCTAAAGAAGGGTCATAAAATACTACAAATTTCACATTTCAAACCAAGAAGTGATATTCTTCCAAAAGGTTATGACCACAAAACTAGAAACCATTTATTTTAACGACAGAGATTATCATTTATTATCAATTCACAACTTACAAAACCACTGACTTGCAATCAGGAACTCTTTTCTGCTCTAGACTTCCAGGTGGAGTAAGATTGAACAAGTAAGATTGAAAAATATTAAGTATTTTCTTTACTCTAAAACTTACTCAAAATGGACAATACCACCAAACTGCAAATATCATCCAAAACTGAATCGTATGTATGTTACTTCAACATAACATCAAAGGCGAAAAGCTTCCATAATCCCCAACTTCACCCAACAATTGATATTCATAAATGTTAATTTTAGGTAGAAGGAACAAGAAGTCTGTATCTTTAGGAAGCATCGTTGAGAAAGTAAAGACATTATAATTTTTGTTAGTATCAGCAATAGCACCAAAAATAAATGCCTATATTTATTCCAAAAAATACATCTACAATATGAATGAAACTAACATAAATTTTGCTGAAGTTCTCAAGTGTCGAGACATGATATATATCAGTTTTTGAATGGAAGAACATTGGTTCACTCAATCCTTTTACAATGATCTCAAGATTAGGATACTAAAAATACATTTGCCAACGTTAGTAACTAACTATCATATGACCAAAAAGTAACACATATACTACCAGCAAATAACCAAAATATCTTGATTGTTTCCTCATTGACTAGTCTGGACACAACTCTCTAATCGGATTCAACACTGATGTGCGGACCAGTTTCCGCAATAGATTAAAAAGGAACTTTGTGGACAAACCCTGGTGCACCGATGGGTGAAGGCCTGCACAAAGAACAAATGATTAGGCTGCCTGACCGGGGGTTGGTCGAAAACCCATCCGACGGTCGAGTCAGTACCGGAGTTTGGTAGAGAGAGAAGATAGAGAAGACCAGTGTGTTTCTACAGTCAAGAGATCGCCCTTTCTCAAGGAGAGTAAGGTTACATTTTATAAGGATCATATGACTTGCTCATCAAGATCTCTCGTTCGCCGCCTGGTATTCAGCCGTGATGCTAATACAACCCTTAATAGAGGAGAGCGAAGATTTTGTTGAGCGGTTCCATCGTTCACGGGCACCACGCGCCCTTTACTTACATGGTGTTAGTTGACCTGTTAGCTCTCATGCGTATTGGAGTAGAAGGCTTGAAGCCCAAGTTTATGAACTAACCCACTTCGGAGTAGGGAGGGGGTGCTAGGGCCAGGCCCATGGTTTCCCCTCTTTGGAGTGGGGATTGGGCCAAGACTGTTCCCTTAGCTCGGCCCATCACAAAGTGAGAGAAAGGGCCCACTTCGGAGTGTGGACCTTCGTTCAGCCCAATGAGGTTTCATACAAATAGACTTGAGTAATTGTGTCTCGTTTATTTGGCCCCTAGCTAGCACTAAAAATTATTGAGTAGAAGCCATTATTTGTATCTCAGCCTAATTTGCTCAAACTTGCCTTCAAATTTAATTCTAACCCTTTTTTTTTTTTTTTTTTTTTGGTTTAACAACATCACGGCCATTTTGACTTGCAATTGCAAGGTTTACTAATCAAAATGTGCGATTTTGCAGGTGGCCCCCCAAATCCACTAAGTTTGTAATTTATTCATCAACAATGATTCATCCTACTAAAAACATCACCACTAATAGCACTAATGCATTAAAAAAATTTAAAAAAAAAAAAAAAAAAAAACACAACTCCAAGATCAAAACATCATATCATTAATAACGAGACCCACTGCTACCTAATTAGTGGGAGCACTAATTAGTGCTCCCAAACATTTTTCTTTATTCATTTGCTCGGTCATGTATCCATGGCCTTTAATTTATATAAACAATTAGCCTGAGTGCTGGGCCATTGCTTTTGACTTTTGAAATATATATATATATTTTTTTTGTTGGAAAAATTGGTCATTACTTCAGTCTCCTGAGTAGCTCGGTCATCCTTCGTTAGTTGTATCCCTGCCTTCTGATTTTGCTCTGTCTTTGCACATGATGTGCAATTTACATAAACATAAACAATAAGCTTGAGTGCTGGGCCCGCCGTTTTTATCACTTGTACATTGAGCACGCTGTATGTATAACCACCTTTGTGAGTCCCAATATTTATTTAGATCCTCTCGGTCATTTCTTCGGCCCATTGCACATGGCCTTCATCTGAAACAAATATCTGGGTGGCTGTTTGCTGATCGGTCGGTCCGAATAAAATAATTCGAAAATTGGTGCAGGAGTTTGGCCTTTCATAGACTCACAGTATAGCTCGGCTCTGTCCCTCCATGTACTATTTTCTACCAAATAAACACGTGGCCATCTTGGGTTGGCCTCCAAACTAGACGTTTTTGCACACTCTCTTTTTAAGAATTCAAATTTCATGAGCCCAGCTACTGTTTTTTTCTTTTTCTTTGCTTCTAAGACGTCTTCGATTCATTTTTTCCAACATCTGTTCTTGCTTCACCGTGGATTTGCCTTTGTTGGCGTCAACTTGTGCCACCAGTTCTAGTATTTGCATAGTCGCTGGGCTGTTGCGAAAAGCTACTGCTTTGCTGCCGGTGAGTTCGTACCATTTATTTCCGGCGTTGTTCATTTATTCCGTCGTTGTTCACAGTTGGTCCGCGACTTTCAACAAGCTGGTCTCCTCGACGTTGCTTCATCTTCAGCACTGTGCGAGATCGACGATTTGATCGCCAACATCACACCTCATTGCTTCAAGTTGCTGGTGGCAATTTGTTGCTTTTGATTTTGCTCCAATAAAGTTGAGTTTGGTGTCTTCAATTCCATGAACCCACATTTTCATTTTTGATTTGTGTGATGGTGAACCCCTTTTGGCTGTCTGATAGGGTGATTTATATGAAAATTGGGCCGAGTTAGGTAATGGGCTGTTATGGGCCACAGTGCGAAGGGCTGAGTAAAAAGGCCATGAAGTTACTCCGGCCCAAGAGAGGTGTAAAGTTACCCGATCCGCAAGAGGTGTAAAGTTACTCCGGTCCGCGAGAGACCTGAAGTTACTCCGGTCCCAAAGAGCTTACGGTAAGTTCGGTCGACACTCACAAAGTTATCCCGGTTTGGACCGGAGTATTGGTTATTCCGGTCTAGACATACCGTGGTTAGCGTTAAGAAGAGCCAAGGTAAGAGCAGTGAATGTAAGAGCCAAGCTAATGTTATCTCGGTCTAGTCTGCGGCTTAGCATAGCCATGCTTACCTCGGTCATGTTGAAGTCTGACCATGGTAGAACCATCTCACTTGGTTTATGCAGTGGGGGTGTTGAAGGATAAGTATTATCTTTCAGGAGTATGAATCCTAGGAGGACTCTACATAGAGGAGTAAAAGTCCTACTAGGATTGTGCCACGCGGAACCTATAAAAGCTTACAACATCACCTATGGAGAGGTAACACAACTTTGATTCCTGAATACACAGAGCTTTTGTCTACTTGTCTATTTTGCTGACTTAGGCATCAGAGAGGTTTCCGGCACACACCCGCCGGCTAGCTCACGTTTGTGTTTTCAAGGAGTAAAGCGACGACGTTTGGAGAAGCGCAGACTTGATCAACAGGATTATACGAGGAGGTTTATTTCTTTCCCGTACAATTGGCGCCGTTTGTGGGAAAGTCAGACTAGAACAAAACCTTTTGATCAAGCTTTTCCTCTTTAGAAGCAATGGCGCACAACGAAGATTTGCCGCAGTCCGCTATCGACGGACAAACACCAGAGGGGGGTACAAGGTGTGAAGGCCTACCTTCTATCCCTCCCATGGCGGACTTGGAGCCACAGCGGCAAAATCCTAGGAGGGATGCAAGGGGGAGGAGGCGGACTAACAGTCCCCATCACTCTTGTTCACGAAGTCCTGACAGACAAAGGTGGAGGATTGATCCTCAAGTTCTGGAGGACCGTGTGAAGGAGCAAGATGAATTGATAAGGAAGATGGTGGCGAACATGGAGGCCATGAAGTGCTAGATCAAGGGAAAGGGGGTGGCGACAGGAGAGGGGCGCAAAGGCAATGCGCCTCCTCGCCACTCAGAAGATCGTAGTAGGCATACCACGACATCGCAAGCAGAGAGTAGAAGCCTCAGGACGAGCGACACTCAATCAAGGATTTCCAGAACTCGTTACTCCAGGTCTGAGAGAACGAGATCATTAAGGTCTTACACAGAAGGAAGTACCTATTGGCCCTCACACACGCATCATACATCATCCAGGCAAACGGAGTTGCCTAGATCGTCCGACTTACGAACTATGCTTGAAGAAAGGGCGCGACAGAAGGAGGATACTAGGGCACGCGACCCGCATAGAGTTTTAGCCCTTCGGCAGTTGGTTCCTCGGATGCATGGAAGGGTCGAGGTTGGAATGCCAGCACCATACCTTGCCTACGAACCAACGGATAAAGCGTTTGGCAAGACTACATAGCTCGCCGTTCGTTCCGGCGATAGAGAACACATCATTACCCTCAGGCTTCATCCAACCTAAATTTACCACGTACGAAAGGAAGACAGACCTTTACATGCATCTAAGCCACTTCCGCCAGGTTATGGCGGTATATCGACGAAACGAGACTTTGATGTGCATCCTCTTCCCATCAAGCCTTGGTGACCTCGGCTTGACTTGTTTCGAAAAACTTCCAGAAGGCAGCATAGCCTCCTGGGCGCAATTGGCGGAGGCATTCGTAACGAGGTTCAAAACAAACACCAAAACCCCGGTGGAAATTGATCAACTGCTCTCCATCGACATGGGCGAAAAAGAGTCATTAAAATCCTAC